TTGTATGGAGTCATCTTCAGTAAGTTTTTACTCGTGGTTCTTCTTTGCTGCCTGGGTTGAAGGCATAACAGTCTATGGTGGCTTTCCTTTTGTTTCACAGGCCATGGGCAATCTTAATCTTTTAGCTAAGTGTAGTTTTTTATTGTTTTTGTTTTTTGTTTGGTACCGGGGACTGAACTCAGGTTCTTGCACCTGCGAGGAAGGCAGTGGAACCACTGAGCAAAATCCCCGGCCCTGGCAAAGTGTAATTTTAATCTAGAAATTCATGTAAAGGCAGCCTCATGGTAACAAACTTTCAGAGAGATTTCAATTTGAAGTCCCGAGTAGAAACAAGATTTCTTATTTTGTACCCTGTGTGTGAGTAGGTTTGCTTCTAGGCTTCCATTTCTGAGGACAGGGCTTCTTAGAGGCTCTGACTTCCTAAGCAGCTTCACACACAGCTTGCAGGTGGGGATACTTTCCCACCAGGACACTGACAGAAGGGTCTTGAGGTCTTCATGAGGTAATCATGAGCCAGGGTGTGGGGCTGCTCATGGCCATTTTCAGTCCTGAATCTTTCCATGTCTTTCCATGGCTTTACTGTACATTTATTCAGCATTTCTTGGTCTTCTGTAGGCTTAGAATTTTCTCATTATTTAGTCTTTATCGTGTCAGGAACAGCAATTGTTCCCTATTTTCCACATATGTTGACACTGTCCCTAGGTGTTCCCCATACTGACTGACAATGGAGAACTACTTACCAAGACTCTACTGAAACACATGCCGGAAATGTGTCAAGTGATGGAGAGCTGCATATTTCCTGAGCCTTTGCTATTCATTCAGATAGAGTCTGGTTTCAGAAGGACTAACAATCCCCTTAGAAAGGTTTGTTTTCAAATCCTGGAAGAGGTAAGATAATCTACAGTGGTGATGTGGATAAAACAAAATAAAAAATACAATCATTGGCTAATTGAAGAAATCTAATACCTCAAAAAGCAGGTGGGATATGCCAAATATTTCTGATTTTGCTTGGTATGACTTATTTTGAAAGCATACCCTGTAAAAATATTAACCTGTTATTATTACTTACAACTTGCCTTTACTACCATAAATATTCAGAGACTATTTTTCTATTGAAATATTAGTAGGCTGTGAAAGAAAAAGTTGAAAAGTCACAAACAGCTGTAATGCAACCTTTTGTCAAGAACTCACATGTCCATAAAAACACAGTTGCTTTGGAGCAATGTCTATACCAAGACAACAGGCACTTCTTCCCCACAACTGAAAACGTACAGAAGAAAAGTTGACTCTTTATATTAAATAAGTTCACTATGGTATTATTGCAACAGAAAGCAAAACAGCAACAGGCAATGCTAATTTTGAATTCGCATGTTGAGTTTGATACTGTAGAGTGGACAAAACATTTTTTTAAAAAGTAGTAGCCACAATATGTCAGTACTTAAATCTTTTTACTATCAAATCCTCAATAAGCTATGACTTCTACCAGAATCACAGACCAGCACCAACATTGCTGACTGCCTTAAAAAAAGTGTTAATAATATTCTTCCTATTTTGTTCACTGCTTTTCTTCACCTTTACAGATGACAGTTTTCAAACTATAAAATGCATTCTGCTGGCAAAACTTTTTGCTTCAATAGTTCTCAATTTTATCCTAGTAAATCTACATCCATTGCTTCTGAGACATCCACTGTCTTTGGGTTTGTGACTCTGAATGAGACGGAGAACAAGCCACATGTTAAAAAAAAAAATCAATACCCAACCTTATCAATATTCATTTTACTTTGTCAATACAAAATACAAAGGTGAAAGAGCAGTAAATAAGCTAGAGCACTGAAATAAATTCGGTGTTCTTGTCACAATTAATAAATGTTCAGCCAATAACACCCCTGGCTGATCTTCTAAAGAGATTGAAATTATGCTTCAATGCTGTCACTAAAAGAAGAGGAGAAAAATTTCAATATGCTAGCACATAAATATGATCAGATTTTGGGTTATTAATTTTATGGTGGACTCAAATCTTTTTAAAAGTATTATTATTTATTATGAATATAATATATAACTCTTTATCTTTAGAGTCATAAACTGTTATACAAGTCCAATTTGGGATTATAAAGTTAAAGTGCCTAATTATAGTATATTGTTTTGATAAGTCTTTCCTACACTCAGTGCTTTATTGCATAATATTTCACATAGAAATTGGAGAGTTTTACCAAACAACATTCAGACTGTCATTCATTTAATGTTTCCTCTCTATTTCACGGGTGAGAGTTTTCTTCTCTTGTATCTTTCCAGCTTAGGTTTAGTATTTATTAAACGTAAAAGTAAAAATATATCTCAATTCAGTGTGTGTTTTTGGGAGATCTGCAAAGATCTGTGAAAACAGCAAGGATATTCTTTTAAATGTAATTCTACATGCTAGTTCAACTTTAGAAGTTTAAAAATATAACTGACTATGTATTATGTTACTGACCACAGTCCAGAATTCAAAGATTATGATTTTCAGGGACAAGATGATTTAAGATTTAGAGCCTCATTATCACAGTGTATTTATGCAAAAGCCTTTCTTACTTGAATTAGGATAATAGTCTTCACCTTCAAGTTGATTCATTAGTATTATAAGATATTCTACTTAAAACTGAAGACTTTTGAATAGCTTCAATTTCTTCCTTTTTGAGAGGAACAGTTATGCATAAGTTTGAAAACAAATGCACTGAAAATGAGTAACATTTTTCCTACTCCATTACTTTTTGGGTAACTAAAAAACGATGAAGTTTTTATGAATTTTATCTTTTAAGTAAATGCCAGCAATAAAATAAAAACCCCGAATCTTAAAAGAATCACAACAGCTTTGAAATGTAACATCTGGAATATCCGGGGCAAGCTTATGACAAGAACTGCTGTAGGCCAAAGTTTAATGCTGGTACCTATCCTCCGCATAAATGAGTTCCTCAGCTGCTACTGAGTTGTAACATCAAAGTCCCCGTGCAGGATAATTGTATCATCCTTTCCTCAACCATTATCCTTTTCCTTCGCACCTCACATATGTTCTCAGTGTTCGGAGCTGACCCCAGCAGGCACTTTCCTTGTGGCTGCCGCTTGGGTGCTTTTTCAGCATGCCCAAGACTGTTCCTGTCCTGTTTCTGCCACTAAGGTTGGAGTCACTGGGAGACAAGACAATTCCGAGAGCTGGAATTCAGCTGGAATGGGGGAATGCTGAAGAATCCTATACCTGCTTCATGGGAAATGTGAATTGAAGAATTTAGCACACTTATTTGATCTAAAAAGTGACAGTTCCTTAGGAAGGGATTTATTAGAAATACTTAATGAAGGCTCTTTATCTCTACATAGTAATAATAGCTGCACAAATTTTCTGTAAAATTGAAAGCATGTAACAGATTCAGATCAATATATGCAACAGCACAGTCTTTACACAAGTATAGTCTCACAAAGAGGCCGGGTTGTTATGGAAGGAGCAAGGGTTTAGGGGTCACACACACCCAGTGTGACTCCTCACCCGACTGCTGAGTAACTACGTCATCCTAGGTAGCCAACCTACTGCTTCTCTGCATCTTAAAATGTTTACCATCTGTAAAGTGATGACAACACCACTCAGATAGTTGTTATAAAGATAAAATAAAGTTCTGGTAGACAGTAAGTGGTAAGTACTATTCTACATAAATTCAAGCAGACTTTATACCCAGGTGTCTTCTAATTCCAAATCCTGAAGATTCACCAGGACTAGGAACGGAAGGAAACGTGTGACTTCATAATGTAGCCCTTTATATGGAACATTGCATAATAGCCCTCTCATAAATTATTCAATTTTTTTTCAGTGAACTATGGAAGAGACAACATAAGCTTCATCTCTTTTTTCTTGAAACTCACCATATAAAAATCCTCATATATATATATATATATATATCTATATCTATATATATATATCTCCCCTTTTATATATATATATATATATATCCTTTTCTTCTCACTGTTTATTCTTCTGTTAATATAAACCCCATTTTCATTGTCCGTAATTAAAATCGCTTTACATATAAAAGGTTGCTCAAATGGAGTTGAGAGAACCTTTATAGATCTGAGAAGCTAAGGAGCCCAGGCATAAGCCCAGGCCACTCCTTGTAGCTTAGATGGAGCAGCTGCAGTGAAAACTCTCACAGTCAGAGTTCGCTGGCAGGGCCACCCACTGTTTATTCCTAAATGGTGCTGTTTACATTCTAGTGTCCAATTGTGCTCCTCCCACTGCCGACTTACCTGTGCCGCCCTTATTTGCTGCTCTTACATGAGGTTGTGCAATGCATATGCATCTTCTGCACAGCACACCCTTCCCCACTGCCCTCAAGTATCTGCCCTACCAGGAAGGCCTCCTGTCTCCTCTGCTGTAGGTTGACTTCCCTCTGCTCAACATGGGTGCTTCTCCCTGACCACATGTATTATTAGAAGGCTATGTTACTAACCTGACATTGTTCTTGAGAGTTTTTTTTATTCTAATGCTGTTGTTGTCGAAATAAGGAAAGGTGAACCTAAGTTTGCAGCAGAGCTGAGGCTAGAAAGCAGACGGCCACATGGAGAAGCCAGGTACCCAACAACTACAACCTGGGGCCTTGTGTTTGATGCTGCTGCTATATTTTTGAGTGTATTGCTATTCATCTCCTGGGTTTATTTGTTGTTTCATCTAGGTATGCTTTATAATATGTCTAAAAAGTTTCTGAGACGAACATATACAGAGCCTTTGCAGTTTCTGTACCCTTTGATATCTCACAGAGTCTTACACTAGGGCAGGTGTGTAGCAAAGGTTTCTTTGATTGGCTGCCTAGGAAATCTACACCAGCATATGCAATACGTCCTGATACCAATGGAAATGATTTGTTTTATTCTTCTCCTGCCACTGTGTCTTTTTTCCGGTGCACGTGATTAGGAACTCTGTATTTTACTCTGAGGACCCGGGTCTATGCCTGGGCCCCACTCCAAGCCCTCTTTGGTTTTACCTGTGGCAGTAGGTCCAGGCAAAGGTGCAGCTTTCCTCCTCCTTTTGACGTCTCCTGTGCATAAGGACCCTAAATGTATGCTTGTTTGCCTACAAGTAATTATCAGAAAAAACTATTAACAAAGACGGAAAAAAGTGACACATAAATACACAGCTTGTATAATCTGAACTCAAATCAAAACATTCTCCACAGAGATGGAGCTGCATAGTAAAACCACCAATCTTGTTTATATCGAAACATAATTACGTTTGTTGACAAGCGTTCAGCAGCTAAATGCACCATCATAAATTGTTACTGGAATGAATAATATAAAAGGAATGCTTTTTAATTTTCAAAACTGGCAATCTTTCTGGCTCAACATAAAATCAAACACTGTTGCTTCTGACAGGAAAATAGCTAAGATTAATTATCTAAAGAGATCACAATATTGTTGCTAGGTTATCAATTGGTTACTAATGCTTTACTGTCAGAACAGCATTTATTACAGGAAAAGTATGATCAATTTCTTTTAGGATATTATGCAGCAGCGAATTCTCTTAAAACATTTTAAATAGATAGAAGGAAATAGTGATGTTCTCCTCATAATTTATATGATTAAAATTGTTTATTTATTAGTTAGGTGAGAAAATATAATTGGAATACACTTATGCTGACTTACTGCTACCAAATAGCCTAAAGTGATACTGGGGTTCTATATGCAAAGAAGTGACATATAAGAACAGAGAAGTAGATTTTCTGCTACTCTTGGAATCAGTTCCAATTAAAGTATTCTGTCTAATCTTGAGCTCCTAAATTAAGAGATTTAAAAAAATAAATGGGCCAATTGGAAATCCAAAAGGCTAATGCAAAGGTGGAAATGATTTAAAAGTCTTCAAACTTCTCCAGCTACAGAAAGCCTCTGTGTTCATTTCCTGGATCATAATGTTTGATGTGGGGTTGGGCCAGGGTCAGGGATCATGAAGCAGAAATAAATGACGCATGTTTATTACAGTGCATGCTCTTTCAGGAATACACGGAGATATGTCGTGTTATCGTGGGGTTTTAAAGGATCCAATTTGAAAACCACATTATTAGAAAAAAAAAAAAAAAGGAAAAAACATTACAGATAAGAACAAAGAGATTGACCAAGCACACAGAGGTTTATATACATGGAAAAATTAGTGATGGGGAGTGAAATGATTTCAAACAGAGACTGTATCCACAAAGCAGAGTAAAGTCACAATAAAGGCTTGGAATAATCCAAGAGACACAAACAGAAATATGTACCATGAAAATCTACCAAAGAAGCTCAACAGTAAACAGGTATTTGCCTAGTTTTCCCTTCCCTTTGTATTGAGCCCATACTGCTTCTCTGTTTTAGAAATAATGTCTATTTTCTGAAAAGCTCATTCAGGTAACATCTTTGTTCTGCGTTGCTCTCGAAATGTTAACATGCAAAACCGTAACATTTTTCTGGATTTTGAGGTGACGTATTGCCTCGTGATACCAAGAAAAATCAATGGCTATGGTCACATTTATTTTTTAAAATGCTATATAGAAATTTTTTAAAAATCAGAGATTTTTTGTACAAAAATTACTTCACTTATTCAGCAAGAATTTATCAGTATCTACCATGAATGTAGCATAAGACTCCATACTGGTAGTAACAAAAGGGAGGGGCGTAGAAAGGGGGAGGGAACGGAAATGAAACTTTCATCCCTTCTACTGCAGGAAGGTAAAGCCTGAGCATGCTGAGAGAGCCATACGTATATGAAATAATTAGGGACAGTGGGGTGGTAGTAGGGACAGGGACCTTCATTAATTACTGCTAGAAATGATTTTGTTTGGTTCATATTAACAATTCTAAACATGTTGAATGGATGTACATGTTTTCTTTGTAGGGAAAAATTTGCACTCCAGTGGAAAAACTGCATTTGCAGTCCAGCCTTCCAGTCATGGTAATTCTAATTCTATGTGAGCTGTGTTAAACTTTTACACTGACTCAAAGGGGAAATAATTCTTGGCTGTAGAAATGCAAATGTCCTGTAGACACACAACTCTGCCTACTGTAGAGAAGCTGGTTTTCCTGTCCATTGGAATGCTCATTTCAGTCCTGCTATCTGTGTGGGCTTCTTTGCCCTTTCCTTTGAGCTGGGTATAGCCTCACCAAGTCCCCTGGGTGCATTAATGAGCTAATGCGACCTTCAGAGACATCCATTTTTCTACACAGTGGCGGCCTTACTGCTCCGTGCAGAGAAATGTCCCCAGTGCTAGATGTTCGGAGCGCAGTGTTTAGAAAGGGTCTGGGCACTGTGCATGGAGAAGGTAGGGACCAGGGGCCACATCTGACACAGATGTCCCATAGCAGCCTGTGGGTCTGACAGACCATGTGGAGTTAGTTAAGGCTGATCAGCAGCGAAAGCAGACAGATGGGTGGGATGGTGGTAGGGGCTTGGCTGGGCAGGGTTGGGACCCAAGACTCTCAGGCCAACTAGGTCTGCAACTGTCCGGGCACAATTCCCGCCCAGATGTTCTTCGCGGTTCTGAGAACGAGGGAAGGACATCAAATTGGGGCACAGCTGGGGCTTGTGGGCATGTCTGGGTGAGGAAGGTGTCTTCATGAACCAGGCATAAAACTCTGGATTATTTAGAAAAAAACTAAGCTGGGTTTTATTACTCTCAAATACATTTAAGCCTCAAGCTAAGCTAAAAATTTATTAGCCAGAGCAAAGAAACACATCTTTAGAAATAATTATGAGGCACACTTGAGTGTGTGATACATAGGAGGTGCTCCCCGTGACTCAGCACTGCTGTTTTCTGCGTACGCTGCTCTCCCACCAGGGGTACAAAATTGGAGCATTTTCACTGCTTGGAAATCATCCTTGCAAGTCAATATCGCACAAAAAGTGTTCACTTTTTCTTTTAACACTATTTAAAATGTATTAGGAAGGTCTGCTTATGAAGATAGCAAAAAAACAAACTTCAGGAACAACACTCTCTTCTGAACCTTTTTCTCATCTGCCCAAGCAAAATGCTCTTTTGGTTATCTTTACAGAGCAAATGGAATATAACATTTTCATTCAACTCTCCTCCCCACCTGACATGCGCAGGAAGGCAAAGAGAAATGTTCAAGGAGAAGAAAAGTAAAGGGAATAAAGTCGGCAACCCTGACTTTGAAGATCTGGGCCATAAGGTGAACAGCCAGCTGGGTTCCAGGCGTTCTGTCCAAACTGAGTCTGCTACTGGCCAGGGACAGAGCTGGGAGGGACCAGCAAGAGCGCCCCACTGTGCTTCACGCAGGGCAATGGAGTCGCCACAAATAACACTAAGCGAGGGTGCTCTGTTATCTGGTAGCTATTTAGTTATGCTCAATGTAAAACATGACAGTTACGTTATTTAATTTAAAATCAATGAATGTCTCAAAGGCAGTCTCCTTTCTTCACTCTAATGAGTCATTTATCTACGCAAAGCGGAACACCCAGCTTATTGTTCAAGGTGATAGTTGGAATTTTTAGTTTCTTTTTCTTTATTTCTTTTGTCTCTGTTGTGGTATTCTGAAGAATGACAAACAATGTCCTGTGGACAGGTCCTGAGTTATTAAAAGATAATATTGAGATCCTCTTGTAAAAGGCACTGCAAGAAAATCAGCCCCTGGACAGATCAGTATATTTCTTTCAGATGTCCTATTTGCTTGGGGGAGAGAGGAAAGAAAAGGAATCAAAGCAAAATGTGGACAAGATGAGCAAGGAATGCGGCTGTCTGCGTTTGTCAATCAGTGATGATTTGAAACACAGCCCCTCATGTATTATTTCTGAAAAAATTTTCTATGAAGAATTAGAAAAGCAAATTTCAAAAAGAAGTCTCTGTTCCATTTTGGTTTTTATGACTGCAACTGGCTTATCTTGTTGCTTGCTGGAAGCTGTCCTTTGACACCCGTGTGTGGTGGATTCAAGAGGGGAATCTCATCTGGAGGAGAAAAAGTAATAAAACAAAAACAGTCTACAGCGAAAACAGAAACAAAATCCCAGCCAGAGCCACCTTGCCTGGGAACCTAGTTTTGACAAGGGCTGCCAGGACCGAGGCAAGCAGTGTCAAACACAATAACGTTAAAGAGAAGACAACAGGAGCTTGTCCCTTCATTGTGTGCATTTACAGAGGCTGTCCGGAGAATTAGGCCTGGTTAGAGCTGCCCCCTGGATACAACAGTTCCCAGGCAGCCTCAGATGGGCTGCAGAGGGGAGGCAAACAGATGTGACTCTGAGCCCTGGCATTTGGCAAGAACACTCACTGTCACTTGGAGCAGCACAGGCCCAGACAGGGCATCAGCTGGGCAGAAAGGAAGCAGGTCTGCGATGTCACTGGAGCAGGGATCGGAGGCTGGGGGTGGGGGGTGGGGGGCTGGGACGGGCGAGCGGTGCCGACTTCCTTTTCTAGCCCCCCAGTCTCCCTCCCTCACCCTTTCTTCAGTGTCACTGTGTCTTAGTCTATAAACAGAAACACGGACAGCATGGGGCTCTTCTCCCTTCATGGCCCAATGCACAGCAGGCACCGAGACGTTTCAGGCATAAGAGTTTCTTAACCAGCAGGAGGCTCAATGGTTAACAATCCCTGCTCTTGACAGTTTTCTTTCAAAGCCCCTGCTGTACTTGATCCCTGTCCTTCACAGGGCCCCTTTGCTGTGTCACCCAGCTTACCCTGCCCATCCCTGGTTCTGGAGCCTTCCGTCTGTCTGTCTGTCTCTGGTTCAGTCATCTCACTTCCCACTCAGCCACAATCCCACCTCTCTTCTCTTTGGAACAACCCTGACTTTGACCAAGGCCGTCTGAGTTCCACTTCAGTGTGCTGAGGTCAGTATCTGGGGTCTCTCGATGGGATCCATGCTATGTTCTGGATTTATCCCATCTCGGTATATTCACCACATATTTTAGAACCAGGTCATTGACCAGACCTAGGGCTCATGTCCTGGGCCTGAAACTTGAGCTGCTGACCGAGGCTTTTTTCTTTTCTTTTTTTTTTGTGCTGTACTGGGGATTAAACCCAGGGCCTCTGCACCGAGCTACAATTCTATCCCTTTTTAAATTGGTTTTCACTTTCCTGCTATACCATGCAA